GCCATTACTCCAGTCTTCATTGTCACATGATCCTTCATAAATCATTTTAATATAATGATTTGGTGCTCAATAAACATTTCTTATGATTAAAGGGGTGATGACATGGATTTTTATTTTATTTTAATATGTTCCTTGAGGTTCACTTATAATGTTGGTGAAGTTTTTTGCACAACAAAACAAAACAAAACAAAACAAAACCAAAACAAAACAAAACAAAACAAAACAAAACAAAACAAAACAAAACAAAACAAAACAAAAAAAACAAAAACAAAACAAAACAAAACAAAACAAAACAAAACAAAACAAAACAAAACAAAACAAAACAAAACAAAACAAAACAAAACAAAACAAAACAAAACAATATATGTGGAAAATGGATTGTGTGGATTGTGTCAGAAAGCAAACGCGCATCTATATACTATATCCAGTGCAGACAAGACAGTGGCAGTTATTATAGTGGGTTCTATTTGCTTTTGATGCGACGCGATACTCGCATTCAGCCGTTAATGGCCTATGGTGAGACGATGACTATTTGTCGATGTCTTGCTCTGGAGGCGGTGTTTATGCAAATGTTTGTGCCCTTGTGACTTCACATGCCACCTCAGATCCAAACGAGCTGTTTTTTGGAGCTTGATTAAATAAATGCTTTGTTTATAATGCGGAGGACGTTTTAAGTTATGAAACTTACAGGATGTTTTAATGGTACAAAGACCTCTTATATGCCAAAAGATCAAGGCAAATGTGATTTCTCATGTCATGACCCCTTTAAATGTTGGAAACTCTTTGTTTCTCATTGACCACCCGTGGAAGGATACGTATGTGTATTTCTCCATTAAAAAAAGATACAATATAATATCTAAAATCTGCAACCACATTCATGTCAAAATCTTGTTTGTTTTCATATTTTATTTCTTTATTTTCAAATCAAACCATTTGATGATATCTGTCATGGTGGCACACTGATGTTCGGCGTTGATGATGTTTGTCATAATGCTCCTCCTGTGACTCCGCCCCCTTCCCTGTTGTCAGAGTGAAGCTTTGAGGCAAGTCCTGGTGAACCGTTACTATGGCAACTTCAAGCCGGGAGGCAGGCGAGACAGTTTGACCAATTTCAGCAACGGGCCGCTCACCCCCGGCGGGCAACAAAACAAAACAAAACAAAACAAAACAAAACAATATATGTGGAAAATGGATTGTGTGGATTGTGTCAGAAAGCAAACGCGCATCTATATACTATATCCAGTGCAGACAAGACAGTGGCAGTTATTATAGTGGGTTCTATTTGCTTTTGATGCGACGCGATACTCGCATTCAGCCGTTAATGGCCTATGGTGAGACGATGACTATTTGTCGATGTCTTGCTCTGGAGGCGGTGTTTATGCAAATGTTTGTGCCCTTGTGACTTCACATGCCACCTCAGATCCAAACGAGCTGTTTTTTGGAGCTTGATTAAATAAATGCTTTGTTTATAATGCGGAGGACGTTTTAAGTTATGAAACTTACAGGATGTTTTAATGGTACAAAGACCTCTTATATGCCAAAAGATCAAGGCAAATGTGATTTCTCATGTCATGACCCCTTTTATGTTGAAAATGGTTGTGCTGCATTACATTTTGGGGCAAACTGATACATTCAATTACATTTGATATATTCAGTTCAATAGAACAAAATGTATTTGACATTACATAACATTACATAACTGTCACTTTTGATCAATTTAATGCATCCTTGCTGAATAAAGTATTAATTTCTATAAAGAAAATCTTACTGATCCCAGACTTTTTAGATATTACACGATATTACTCGTTTATATTGTAATATATTTATTTATATTATGTATATTAAAAATATGTATTTATGCTCATTGTTTTAGAGGAGCTGGAACGCCTTCTTGGGGAGAGACCTGAAAAATTTAAGTCTCTTGGAGCTCACTTCAGTCTACCAAGCAGCCATTCACATTCTCAACCTTTAAGAGTTGCTGTGCATCCTGCCTACGGACACCAACCTGTCCATGACACTAGTGTTCTGCATCAGAAGTCTCTCTACAACACTTTACCCTCTCAAACTGTCATCCCTCCTCCCCCCTACATATCCCCAGACCCTTTATCTTTCTCATATTACCCTCCTGTCACCCATCAACCCAGTGCTGGGCATCCCTCCAGTCCCAGGACAGGCAGCATGGATTCTCCCTTACCAGCACACACCCCACCGAGCTACAGCACCGCCCTGCAGGCTGGTCACAGCGCTTCAGCGAGCATGCAGGAGCTTCTGCTGGATGGAGAAATCAGTAATGATGTTGATGCATTAAATCCCAGCCTCACAGATCTACAATTACATGGTAAGATTGAGTTTGCAACATTAGCCATGTTTGCAACAGAGCTCCTTTGTTGTTCATGCCGTGTTCTTTGTTTAAAGGGAATCTTTGGGAGCAGCTAAGGAATGACAGCCTCGCTCTGGATTCACTGGCAGTCATGGACAGTCCCACTCAAACACAGGATAGCGTGGGGGTCTGTGGGGGTTTAGCGGAGACTGACGGTGGGGTGCAAGGCAGCATTTCTGAGCTTTATCTCAGTGGGCTCTACACAGCTCCTATTCCTCTGCTATGAGAAAGAAACCTGTGCGTTGCGTCCCAAGTCATCATTGTTTTCCAAAATAGAAAAAAGTTTATATTTTTGAATGTCTAAAAAGTATGATTTCTATGTTGAATGGTGTGCTTGAGTTATAAAAATGACATTAGTTTTTTATGTTTTAAATACTTAAATGTATATGCTGTCCAATCCCACTTAACCAGTGGTTCTACACTGAAACAATTTGGTGTAGAAACAATTTTTACTCAGAAATTTCACAATTAATTACAAAGCAAGTAACACATTGAATTAGACATGAAATTTGGAAGTAGAATAACTAAATAGCATTTTCTTGTAAAACATACTCCAGTAATCGTTATTTTATTTATAACTTGGAAAAATCATTTTTTACAGTGTACCAACCTGTTTGACTCCAAGACATCCATTGTCTATAGGAATTTTCAAAGACGCCATGACTTTTCCTGATTTACTGGATGATGATTACAGATAAATATTTTTTACTCACAGTTTCTACCTGATCAAATATTCTAGAGCTTGGCATAACTAGAAAAATGAATATTCATAAAACTGCCTTTAAACTGAAATTATGATTTTATTAATTCACTTAACTTTTCTAGGTCTAGATCTTACCTTTATAATTAGGCTACCTCTTATATCCAGGTTTTCCAGTGGGACAGTGAGAACCCTGTTTCTTCAAAGAAAATGGAGTTGTTGAGAGGTTGAATTAAAATAAGAAATATCTTGATTTTTTTTTTTTTTTTATAGCTTTTTTTAATGCTTGTTTAATCTTATTTTAAGTCATTTTGAGGTTCCCTTAAGTTTGCTGAAGCCCCCTAGTGGGTTCTAAAATCCTTCCATTGGTATTTTTGGTAATTCCAAAAAGTTCTGTAAGCATTTATTGCTCAAAATCACTTGAATGTGGCCTAAATTGTCTTAATATTGTTTGCTGAAATTAAACAATATATGAATATTATTTGCCTTTGTGCAAGTGTTATTGTTAAATGTATAAAAGTATTTGGGTTAGTAATTTTTAAATAAGGTGTTCTGGACTTGTCATATAGTCAGTATTGGCTGTTGTTTGCATTTGCTTTGGCAACCACTGGGGGGTGTGGTTGCCTCTTTTTTATACTGTCTTCCCATAGCAACACACATTGAAAGCACTAACAAGTTAAAACAGATCTTCCGAATTGCAGGATTTTTACTAGATCTCTGCAAGCATAGGTCACAGTTATTTTTGTTTGTCAAAATTCTTCAAATGATTCAAAAAATTTCGATTTGGCAAAATCTCAAAATTAGAGTCATAGTTATACAATTCCTGACTCTGAGTCCATCAGGTCGCCTTATCTGATCTATTGCACTACCAGAACTGAATCTTAAGTCAGACGCATATACGATCACAACATATAAGGCATTTATGTCATAATAATACACTGTATACAGCAGATCAATACATTTTGAAGTGATTTGAACATATAGCAATGTTTATTAATTTAAATTATTATTTTTGCCCTTGTTGTATCATATATTATTTTTTTGATTATCTACTACAGTACTGTTCAAAAGTTTGCAGTCAGTTGATCTTTTTTAGAGAAATCAATATTTTTATTCAGCAAGGACACATTAAATTGATCTGAAGACTTTTACATTGTTACAAAAAAAACAGTCTATTTCAAATAAATGCTGTTTAAAAAAAAAAAAAAAAAAAAAAAAAAAAATATATATATATATATTAAACAGCACACCTTTTGTCAGTGTTAATAATAATGTTTCTCGAGCACCACATCAGCAGAACATTCAGTTTTGTCATCACAGGTATAAATTACATTTTAAAATGTATCCAAATAGAAAACACTTATTTTGAATTATAACATTTCACAATATTACTGTTTTACTATATTTGTGATCAAATAAATGCAGCCTTGGAGAGCATAAAATAAACTTTTGGATGATAGTGTTGTACAGTTTAAATATTATTTTATCTGAATTATATCACTATGGAGGAGTTTTATGTGTAAAGGAAATTAATTAAATCAAACATGATGATTTAAAGAACTTTGGAATTTTTATTTTTTCTCTTTTTTGTTAAATTGCACGAAACAATTGACACAGATATCTATCATTATTTTTGACAAAAGATGCTATTAAAAATATGTGTGGCAATGTATATCAATATAAATAAGAGCATATTAATATAAATAACAGATTTATATCATCGACCAAATTATGAGCATTCAAAAATGAAAGTGAGAAAAATGAAAGAAAATCAGGCCCTTTCATAGAGGCCAACAGGAAGTGGGTGCAATGTTAGGGCAAAATACACAGTTCCTGACAGTATCCCTTCCTTTAAACGTTCAAACACACTGCATTGGGCACTGTATCTCCAACTCACTCTACACGACGCTCTTTTTATGCTTTAGAAGCATTGAGAAACATAGTAAGAAAATTTAGTTACAAATCAGAGTTGTTTAGAATTATTAGTCTTTGGGCTTTTAAAAATACATAAAAACAGAGCATGCAATTATGCACATGTGCACAGGCACACTCATATACATAAAGAGACAGAGTTATCACATACTTTAAATGATTCTAAGGAAAAAAGCAGTACTGGGCCATTCTGAGTAACATTCTCTCTCTCTCTCTCTCTCTCTCTCTGTCTCTCTCACTCACACACACACACACACACACACACAGTCCTGAGATTGTTTTTTTTAACCAAATGCATCATCACATATAAGATTAGATGCCTAGATGCCACTGCCAGTAGATGTTCCTCTGCCAGTTGCTTTGCAGCTCAATGCAGTTTTCTGCAAGAGGTGAGCGAGGCTTCCTACGGTCCACCGCTGTAAGAATAATCTGCCTTATTGTGCATCACAAGCTTGTTGTCCACAAAGTAAAAGCTGTCGGATTGCGTCTCATAGGGGTGAAGGATCATTTCACGCACTATGGAGGGATACAAGAAACACAGTGTCATATGTATATTAGGTCCAGCCACAAGATCACAAACTAATCAATAGCAAAATTTTGAGTTCATAAAAAAACATTTATAACTTACTTATTTCTTCAGAGAGTGGTGGGAACTCATAGATGTGTTCACAGGTATTCTTACTGCTCGGGATGCAGAAGCCAAACTCAAAGTCAAAGCTCTTCAGCAGCCGCTCACGGAAATAGTGCCTCTCGATCATTCGGAAGTTGTTGATGGGAACATCGCCTACAGTGAACTCCACCCTGTGAAGGTGGGAAAGGACACGTTTAAGGACACATGGATTTTGTGGCAATGAAAATGGCTCCTTATAGGGTTGGTAAGATTTTTTATGTTTTAGAAAAAATCTCTAATACTCAGCAAGTCTGAATTTATTTATTCAAAAATACAGTAAAAACAGTAATGTTGTGAAATATTTATTACAATTTAAAACAACTAGTTTTTTTTGGCTTAATACAGTTACGATAGTAATTAATTTTTTTATAAAGATGAATTTTCAGCATCATTACTCCAGTCTACAGCGTCACATGATCCTTCAGAAATCATTCTAATATGCAGATTTTTCTTTTTATTACCAATGTAGAAAACAGTTGTGCTGCTTAATATTTTTATGGAAACTGTTATACTATTTTCAGGATTCTTTGATAAATAGAAAGTTCAACAGCATTTATTTGAAATAGAAACCTTTAGTAATATTATAAATGCCTTCACTGTCACTTTTGATCAATTTAATGCATCTTTCCTGAATAAAAGTATAAATAAATATGAAACTGAATAAAAAAAGACTTCTTCCTTTAAGACCTCTATTTAAACATTTTTGTCTAATTTCAAATGTAACATAGCTAATACACACACACACACACACACACACGTTTTGTTTGTACAATTAACCCATTTATCTCAAAATATCAAGAAAAACTTGATTCATCATGATATGTCCCCTTTAAAGGTTAAGTCAAACAGATTCAAGTGTGATTTCAGGCTAATTTTAGGTTGCAATTTAGATCAAGTGTAATCCTGCCACAGATTGCACTTACGTGGCGCCAACCTGCCGTAGTCGGAGGAAAGCGGAGGTGAACTGATAACGCACAAAGCGCCCGGCATTCTGGTCAAAGTCCGTTCTGTCCTCCCCACTCTCTGTGAATCAGAAAGGGGTCGGCATTACCAAATGAGCCACTGAAGGGCTCTTGTGCAGCGCACTGCATCTAAATGAAAATCAGGGCTTTATGGGAAAAAAATCTAACTGAGCCTTGCATTTAAATGTGCAGCCTGTGTAGGTGGAGTGAGGAAGTGAATTTGAGAGGTCTGCTCCTTGCCTACCTGTTGTAGGGGGTTTGGTGATCTCAAAAAGAACCATGCCTGTCTCCATGTCTCGGATTTTGAACCTGGTGAAGTCGATCTTGTGTATGTTCTGTTCTGGACCGCAGAGGTAATCTATGGAAACAAAAACAAACCAGGATGTGCCTCAGTTCTGACTCTCATTAGCTCAACATTTGTAAGATAATGAAATATGAATGGAACATTAACGTGATGTGATTCTCTCCAGACTTGTTGTAACATTTCAAAATATAAAGCTAACCACATTTTAACACTGGGTATGTGTGTGTGACATAGGTCACATGCATCAAAGACATGCCTCTGGGCTGAGAGCCGTACCCTTGTGTGATAGACTGCAGGGACAAAAAGAGCTATTTCTGTTCTCTCTGATGTTGTGTGGAAATGACATTGATGATGACCATACACCTCCTCGATTCATTACCTGCCTGCAAAGACTGATACTGTTTAGAAATACTGTCAGAACAATAGGAAAAGAAGTATACTGACAGACAAACATTAATGAACACATTGTGTGTTAAAATTGAATAATATTCCTAATATTGATGATGTAAAAAAATGGCAGTTGGTTGGGTGTTTTGCTTTAGTATTAATGTGCTATAGTATATAGCATAATGACAATAATAAAGTACTATATATATATATATA